GCGCTCCCCAGAGAGGTCTGCCTGGCGCCGTCGTTATTTGTTTTTCGGCGCCAGGCGAAGACCTTTTTATTTAAGCAGTATTTTAAATGTTAATATTATTGAATTTTATTTGGCCAGGGCGGCTTGTTTTATAGTGTATGTTTTATATTATATATTTGTATTTTATTGTATATATTTTAAAATGTTATTTTAATTTTTTGTTGTAAGCCGCCCCGAGGCTTCGGCGAATGGGGCGGCATAAAAATGTTTTAATAAATAAATAAATAAATAAATAAATAAATAAATAAATAAATAAATATAAATACATAAAATAGTAAGGGGAATTTTTGAATGAAGACTTTCTTTGGGGGCCCATTTTAAAACAATGGCCAGTCAATTGTACAAGCAGCATTAACATTGAATGATGGACTGGCATTAGCTTGGAAGATAGCAAGGGACCCACCCAGCCAAAAGGAAGCACCTTTCTGATTTTGCAGAAGCACCTGATAAAGTCACAAGTCTCTTTGCCCAGCTTCTGATCCTTCTGGGTATCTGACCTGGCTGCTTGCAAAGATATGTCCCAGAAGAGTTGGTAACTCGGACAATCTCTGTTTCTGCATCCTGTCCTGCTCTGCCCCATACATAAACCCTGCATCCAGCTCTGAGCATTGCAAACCTCACAGCACCATATCCCAGTAGCCACCACTAGCATAAATGCCAATACATCAAAGCTTTGAGAGAGAACAGGATAAAGAAATACCTTGGCTCATTTTCTGAGATGTATTGCCCAAAAGGCATGAACATATTATGCTTTCTCCGTGATATCACTTTACCTGCTTTTATTAAATACCTTTTACAGGGATTGGAGAAATGAAGGCCTACAGAAATTCAAATGTTGAATAATTCCTCAGGTTCAACAACAGGACGGACAAATAATGCATTTTCTAGGCCAGTTTCTCCTGTTAGTTGTCTTCAGTATATTGAACTGTAATACCTATCAGCCTCAAACAGCAGCACCATGTTGTGAGGATAAAGTGGAGAGGAACAGAAAGATTATGTAAGGCAGAAACAAAATATGATGAATAAATAATATAGTAAACACATCTAGAGGGTACCAAGTTGGGGAAGAGAGATGCATTGGTATCCAACAGAAAATTTTGACAGTGACCCTGTTATAAAATAAAGGCTTAATGTATAACCACTGAGCTTCTCTCTGGCCTGATGTTACCTGCTTTTATTGTACCAGTAGTTCAACTAAATCTCTGAAGGAAGGCTATACATTTTCTGTAATTGCTTTGCACAAAAGGAAAACAAATACTCTGTGAAAGAAACCACAATGTAGCTTTTCTTGCATATCAAAAGAATTTTATTGTGTTGGCAGTTAACAGAATAATTGTATCCATCCAAGGCTGCATACTCATGTGTACAGTTAGAAACTTCAGGATTGGAAACAAAGTACTCAGTAAAAAAGAAGAACAGATGTTAGCTCCAAATCTTATATGCACAAATAAAGTGAGGTTTTCTGCTTTTATAAAACTCAGAAGGATTGAAATAAAACACACCAGGTGTAAGAAGCCAACGGAAGAACTGGCTTTCTGGGGAGAAAAGATGAAATGTATGCATGTGGGTTATCATCAACAGCTATTAAAAAAAGACATCTGACTTAAAAAGTATATCTTACACATAGCAAAGCCAGATATCAGATGGTTATAGGAAGGAAACAGACCCAATAAATACTTGCCATTGATTATATTATTCAGATAGTCTTCTATGTTTTCATCACTAATTGCAAAGAAAATCAGCAGTATTAGCTACAGCTTGGTCAAGGTCCAAAAGGATATGATTGATGGGACTGCTCATGAAAAACAAAACAACACCTTTCTCCACCCGCTGCCCTCTGCCTTAAGCTTGCCTTGATGAAAATCAAACCCTTCTGGCTAATTTTGGTTTGGTTCTTCAGGGAAAACTCACATACACGTAGGATTTACATACATCAATAATGAGAAGAACTATGATGGAAAATAACAACATGCACCTTCTTGGCTTTGATGGTCTGAAGCAGCAGAACTCTAAGGACAGAGAGGTGTCCGTGGAGTTTCCTGTCATAGTTCTGCTACATAATTGGTATTGCAGGTGAAACCTCGGAAAATTTGCAACAGAAACATGTGGAATTCTGGAGTGCTTTATCTCATGTCAAACCACAAGCAAAGCATTGCATTGCTTTCTTTTTATATTGATCCCAGAGAGACAAAAACGATTTGTCTCTGAACTACCTAAATAAATTGCCTAGTGAGGGATTGGGTTTTGGAGAGACTTATCACTCAGTGGTCCTGCTTCCCCCAGAGGTAGAAGGCAGGGGCTGTGTACCTGGGTTTGGTTCTCAGTGCACTGAAAACTTATGGAGTCTTTGCAATCCCTGCAAAGCACAGTGGAAGCAAATAGACTCTTAAAGCAGAAGCATACTAAAGAGAGACTGTGCAATATATGTTCCATCTTTAGCCATCTCAGAGTGGTTCTGGTGGTTTCTCTGTGCCAGCTCCAATCTCTGATGACTGTTGCAGAGATTCCAGCACATAAAAGATCAAGACCTGTTGTCAAGTCTCTGATCACCCATCAGTTTGGTTATCCAGAAGTGTAGCAATAATTATATCCATGCTAATTGAGATTGCAAACTCACAACAGCAGCATATTTGCATACTGCTGGCTGAAGGAGTGCATAACATTGCACCAGGATCTAGGACAGGCAATGCTAGGCACTGCACAAAGGAACACGTTCCACAAAAGATTCCAGTTCATTAAAAAAATTCCAAGTATAATTATGTACAGAAACCTATGAAGTAATTAAAAGAAACAAAAGTTAACAATTAAAATTAACAATTGAAACAATATGACACAAGGAGGCATCTGCAACTATCACATTGCACAAGAAAAATCCCAGCCTTAAATTAAGAAAAGCTGCAATAATCCTACCACAATTGGCCTTCTGATTTTGTGCCCTTGATACCCTCATTTCTGAAATGTGACCCCATAGTAAGTCCAAACTATATGAGCTGCAACCCATGTGACTGACCCTTGCTGCAATCATTAGAATGCAGCATCACACAAAAAGCTGTTGGTGTAGATGGCCCTCTGCATAGTTCACATTACTTTGATGAAGCAATGCACTCAACATCAAAGAATCTGCTTCCAACAGATGCTTTGTTGTGCAGATCTACACTGGCACAGTTCTAGAACAGGAAACAACTCAGTTGGATTCACATTTTCTAAAAAGGCAGACCGTTCTCCAAAGGATACTGATTCAGCTACAGCTATCAGAGTGGGTCCTTTATAACCCAGAAATACTTTCCTTTTCAAAGTTCAGTTGCTATGTTTCCAAACATCAAAATCATCTGCTTGTTACTACATCAGATTCAAATGATAACATTATCATCGACACCAAGCAACTTTCATAATTACAGAACCTCCTTTCTCTAGAAATCCAACACAGATGGAATACATATTTTCATTGCAAGATAAAGTATAAAGAAGTGTGTAACATCATTTTGATACATCCTAATGTAATGGTATCTAGCAATTAGAATCGTCCCTGAAAATTCATTTTTCAACTCAATTATCACCTCTTACCATGCTGAGGAGTCATCAAAAATAAATATTCACCATGCAAAATAGATCCTTTCAAAATCACCATATGATGTCTTTACTAAGATGAATGTGGTGCAGCACCATAGAATAACCTGGCTCTGCTTTAGTTGCCAGGTCAAACAAGGACTGGTGCATGATTTTTATTTTATTTTATTTTATTTTATTTTTTATTATTTTATTTTAAAATACACTTTAACTTGCATGATAGGGTTGAAAACAAATTTAAATGAGTAAATAATAAATAAAATAAATACCTAACCTTAATAACAGGCTCTTCTGCCTACTGAAAATGAATAAATCCTTCTGATGTGACTTAGCCCCTTAATTGAAGCATATGTGAACAGACAGTACAGAATCAGAAGTCAGCATCAGCTCTTATCTCAGCAACGACCTCGGCAAAAACAAACATGGAATCCAAGGTGGTTTCACTCACACTACACTGATTCATTCACAAGGTATTGTAATTCTATGCAAAGGTGAACCCTACCTATCAGATCATAGTGGAGATGAAAGACATGCAACTCAGAGTTTGATCTGGGAACCTCTGATTGCTTGAATAAACAAGTTAGAATTGCTCACAGTAGTTATGTATCATAAAGTTGCTCATGCAACTGTGCAAACAGTCTCTCATCAGACTGACATTTACAGTTAGCATTCCCACCCCTTCCATATGCTAACAGAGACTCATTCAGGGTAGACCTTGGACTTCAAGCTCTTGCCATTTCTTTTTTGCCAACAACAAAACCACTAAATACTCTCATAGTGTTCCAGTGCTAATATTTCACTATCAGAACAATACCCTTGGTATCAGTATTCGATGCTACACTCTATGCTCAGCAATCACATTTTGCTATATCAGTAAAAGAAAACAGTAAACCATTCAGTTCAAATGAATACATTGAAGAAACAATGAAAGAAAAATAAAGAAAGCCACCCAAAGTGTGTGAATCACCAACAACTCTACTGAAGCCCACTGGTTCCACCTTGAGGTAGGTTCATACAGTAAAAGATTCTGAGCTCTGTACAACCTGTGCTAGCTAGCCCTTTAGAGAGGCATGCCAATGCTGCCTTCAGTTTTTGTTCAAAAATATTTGTATTCACTGACATGTTTCATAGCACAAAGGGCATGGTACAAAATGCAAAAGTGGTTCTTTCCTTTCCTTTCATTCGTTCGTTCGGTTAGTCGTTCTTTCTTGCTTTCCTATTTGGGGAAAGCATCTGTACATTCTGCAAGCCTGAGATCTAAAGCTGACATTCTTTCAGCAAACCTGTTTTCCCCCTGAAGTGCCATTAAAATGATGCACTACAAATGGGTAAATCTAACCCTTATCAATGTGAAATGAGGAACTTCCAAATAGGAAGTTAGTAAAACCACAATAAATGCTTCCCTTCCTTCTACCAAGTTCAAAAATATAAAAAGGAAACCTGAACACCATCACACCTGTGTGTTTATAACCTGAAAACAAAGCAATATCTGGGTTAGGTATGGGGTTATCAAAGCAGCAGAATTAATAGCACCAGCAAAACTTTGGGTGAAATACTGGAGGAGTGACTTTGACCCTTGGCCCTCTGAACTAGTGGATTGTCCTGTGCTATACTCCTTTGTGTTTGGCCCTGGAGCCATATAATAAAATAGGAAACTTTTGTGAACAAAGAGCCAATTTTGACATTACAATGCCCACTGGAAAAGAATGCCAGTGGCAAAACAAGAGTATGGATTCTTACTCTTTCCTACTCACTTAGTTGGTGTTTTCTAAACTTCTGATAGCTAAGTCACACTTTTCCCCAAATTAAAATTGGATACAAGGATCACTTTTACCCAGGAAAAAGCTTACTTTTAGAAAGTGCAAAATGGATTACAGAATCTCAGGGAAGGCATCCAATTTGGTGGGTTAGTGTTTGGATGGCAGGAGATAACCAAACAGCAAGATGCAACAAGCTCCCCCAACAGCAGATGTAACATTTGCTGTTGCATCTCAGCGTCGGGAGTAATTGGATGGTTCAACATATCTGGTATAAAATACCCAACAGAATTGCTTTCTATCACAGGAGGATAGAAGTAAGGCCAGAGCAGTTAATTGCACAGAGATGCATCATTTGATGAGTACAGGTTGAAGTCTTGTACATGTCTACTCAGACATAATTATCACTTAGCTCAGTGCGACATACTCCCAGATAAATTTGTATAGGAAAGCAGTCATAATTTCTTTTTTATGGCACAGTAATAGTTCTTACCACTCAATCAAGTGCTCTGGCATTCAATCTGATAATTCCTCCATTAATAGTTCCTACAAAATTTATACACATTTTGTGTTCTGGTACACCATTTTCACTCCTAACGAGACATCATTCTGACATATAATGTCAGGATTGAGACAATGTTACACTGACACGGCCACTTCTCAGAAGTGCTTCTCCAAAGTGTAACAAAGCCTTTACAAAGAAAATATTGCCACAGTAGAAACACTCAACTTTCTCCCTCTTTAGACTGAACTTACCAATGCCACCATAAATTAAAATGCAAGTTCAAGTTAATAAAGGAGACTTGAAATCATCACTTGTACTTCATAATGAACCATAAAAAATTCTTACACAGAAGTATTTTTACAGAAAGTCAGAATGCACAGCAAGGATTTGCTGCCAGTCATTTAGTCAGTCAGTCAGTCTGTCTCTTTTGTTCTAAAAGTGACCGAGGTAGCTTAATGTACAGTACAGTAGAAGGGAAGAGAACAGTGTATACATGTCTGACTGAAAATAACCGTGAAAGGAAGCCTTTTGGCTCCTCTGTCAAATTTGTGCTTAGAGATCAATAATTATTCTTAAAGCTGGAGTCCTGGTTTCACAACATGCAGGATGTGCCCACTCAACAAGTCCATAGAGAGCCCCTGCTAATTGTTTACAGGTGCAGAAGTGTCTGGCCTCCAGGCTGGCTAGCCAGCATTGTATCCTGTCTTCCGCACACGTAGGCAGAACAGCCATCTGTGCAGAACAGGGGCAAAGAACGCCATGGTGCACAGCCCTGTTTGGAACCATGCAGTCCAATCAGCACGCATGCTTTGTGCCTTCCTACTGCATAAAGGAGCAACCCTGGCAGGTGCTGACAGAAGGCCTGAAATACTGCTATTGATAGGACTGGAGGCCATTTCCACATAAAACTGAGGCAAAATAAAGTTCAGTTGTGATGAAAAACTATTCCAAAACTCAGGATTTATTCTCTTCTAAAAGGAGATCATTCAGTGCAATTACGGTAGCTGCGAAGTCAACCAGCTCCACAAAGTCTGATGTAATGATGTTAACACCCATGACACCCGGTTTCTGTGACTTCACCCAGTTCAGAATCAAAGGAAGATTTCTACAGGGAAAAGAAAGGAAATGTGTGACTTAATCATCATGTTTATTACGCATATGAACTGCATTGCATCCTGCACATAATTAACAAGTTGGCATTGGATACTGGACTTTCTGAGTATAGTATTCTGAAGCTCACAGTGGCTGGATCCAGAATTTGTGGTGCCCCTTTCTGTCTGCAGTTCCCTGTGCACCCCACAATCTGCTAAAGAGTCTGGAGGACTTTCCAGAATAGCGTGAGGTAGTCCAGGGGGCTGCAGTAGGAAGGGGGAATTGGTACAAAGCTTTAGTCAGAATGTTAAAAGAATGCATTTTTTCAGCTGCTTTTCTAGCTTTGTGTTTTATTGAAAGTAGATTCAGCAGGCTAATTAAAATAGTTCTTCTACTTACTGGGTTACTATCATCTAGGGTGCTTGTTATGTGAAAACAGGCCCTTGTACACATTAATCAGAAAAACCTTGTAGCACCAGTCTTTACATGTCAGGGCACAAGTGATCTAAATTGGTAAGTTTTTAATACAAAATATGTTTAGTTTTGAGTGCAAGTGATCTCTACACTGAAACTGCCTTAGACATTAAAAAGGTTTTAAAAAGCAAATGCTAACATTAATACTATGCAAATTTCATTAAAATGGTCCTAAAACATTTAAGTGAAGATTTTATAAAATGCTGTCTAAGTGAAGAACTATAAGTTTCTATATATTGGTTCAAAATAGAGCTGCCAGGTTGCTGACGGGGACGGGGCGTTATGTTCACATGACTCCAGTCCTCCGACAGCTTCACTGGCTTCCCATTGAAGTCCGGGCCCAATTCAAGGTGTTGGTTATGACCTATAAAGCCCTAAACGGCTTGGGTCCTGGTTACCTGAAGGAGCACTTACATCCATATATGCCCAACCGCCCCTTGAGATTTGCGGGAGAGGCCCTTCTCCAGGAACCCTCCATGAAAGAAATTAGGAGGGTAGGTACTCGGAGGAGGGCTTTCTCTGTGGTGGCGCCCAATCTATGGAATGTGCTCCCCAGAGAGGTCCGCCTGGCGCTGTCGTTATTTGTTTTTCGGCGCCAGGTGAAGACCTTTTTATTTAAACATCATTTTTATTGTTAACAATATTTACTTATTTATCTGGCCAGGGCGACTTCTTTTCTTTACTTCTTTTCTTTTATAATGTTTCTTTTATAACTTCTTTTATATCTTTTATATTTTTTATTTATTTTATATTATTAATTTTAATTTTCTATTGTTATTTTTGTATTGTATTTTATTGTGTTGTAAGCCGCCCCGAGGCTTCGACAAGGGGCGGCATAGAAATGTTCTAATAATAATAATAATAATAATTCCATCTCTTTTCCTGATCCAAGGCTTTTCTATCCTTGAAGAGGCTGTTTCATGGAAAGACACCTCTGGATTCAGCCCATTATGCTGATAAACAGCTGTTGCTTTGTGGGATAAGGGTGGCAGCCAGTTACCAAGAGTAAGATGCTGCACCAGGTCCTGCTCAGAGATTAATGCAAAAGTAAACAGTGGATCAAGCCACAACTGAAGTTTTAATGCATTCAACACAGAATTCAGAATGCATCAGACTTCAGCCAGGCCTATGAGAGAGGGGAGAAGACAAGTAAATGGTTTGAAAGATGTGTTATCTGTATCAATCAGGAGGGCTTTTAGGAAAGTGAGGTTGCAAAAAGGATAAATGCCAACATTTGCACGTCTGAGATTTACAGATTAAGAGCAGAAGATTAAAGAGAGGCAACTCTGTACGTTAATTTATTATCTTGTGCATAATCTTTACATTCTTCTTAAGATACTGAAGTGAATGCTTTAATGTCCAAATCCAGAGTTTGATTCAAACATCAAAAGCTGGTCTGGCTGCCTTCCAGGATCCAGAGTCCAATTATTTATTGTTATGGTCTTGTAAAGCTTTTAAATGTTTTAACTCCTTATTACTTTTCTCTTGGCTCAATTTCTAGCAGGGCTGGTTGGAGGGATGCTGGAAGCCGTTGGATTTTTTTCTGTCTACACATGCATAGGATTGCTCCCTAAGGGATTTCAGCATTTTAAGTGAAATAAAAGTATTATAAATAAACACATATGAATAATAAATCATAATAATAATATCTCCAAACCTACAGGAGAACACACCCCTGTCCCAGTTCTGGGTTTACCGGATGTCCAAATGTCTTGTTAATAAGGGCTTGTCAGTTGACCAATGTTGGAGGTGTAATATAGCCAGTGCTTCTTTTAATCATATATATTGGTAATTCACAGTAGTTTCCCTTTTGGGGTGAAAGTTATACTGCATATTAAACACTGTGATATTTTCTGATATATACATGCATTTAATTTATCTACCTGTTTCTTAGAAATTAAGTGTGCTCAATATAAATGAAAGACTGATACTATATCACTGAAAAGATAAGTTTGCCTTCCATAAAGCAATGGATTGAAAACTTAATCTCTCTCTCTCTCACACACACACACACACACACACATCTTACACATTTGGATTTATGCTGTTATTTGAATATTTACATAATTTTTGTGTTTTTTGTCATTTTTTTTTGGTTGATTTGCTTCATTTGTTGTTGTTTTGTGGATTTTGGTGAAATTCACAATAAAATGAATACAAAAATGAGCAAAAAAGGAAAGGAAAATTGGACATTTCCACTGCTGTATCATGTATCTGTGTGTGTGTGCAAAAGGCCGGCGGGGCAGCATGTAGCTCATGAATTGCAACTTACCCATCACTGCTTGAAAGGGTGATTGAGGCTCATGATGAATGTCTGTGAGTGGTTTAAATTGATTGAGGAGATAAAGGCAAAATAGCTACACTCTGGCTTTTGATTGGGAAACCCACATGCTATCTGCCTGGAAGAACCCTGATTCTATATTACAGAGGCTGTACAACTGAATTCTATCTGTTGGTGAGTTTTGCAGCTATGGATTACAAGGCTTCAGCAAGAACTCACACTGCGCTCTTCATGCTCTATACTGCCTGCCATGCAAGTTCAATATTTCTTAGGCCATCATATATTATGGTTGTTACATTGCATCTATATACCACCTTTTTTTCCTTTTGTAAAGAAATTAGAGTAGCTTACATAACCCTTCTCCACTCCATTGTATCCTCACAACAATAAGCCTGTGAGGTAGGTTAGGCTGAGAGTGCAAGATTGGCCCAAAGACGCCTGGATCTTCCACGTCCACAGTCCAACCGCGGCATCACAGTGGCCCATCACTGTGAACATCTTGGTGTGCTGTACTCGTCTGGCTTTCATTTATGTCATATAAATAAATAAATAACTTTAGGGCCACATTTTGAACCAGCAGGTTTCAGCTAAACCTCAGGAGGGTGGCAGTGAGGAATTATAGAAGGAAAAGCTTTGCACAGTCAAAAGATTATACCATTTTTCCAGCATTTACAGAAACATATTTTATATCACTTGCAATTTGGAGCTGATGTTACTCGTGTGTGTGTGTGTGTGTGTGTGTGTGTGTGTGTGCGTGAGAGAGAGACTTAAGAATGACTGCCTAAATGCATTTGCTGGTGAGAAGGGAGAAAAGTCCTTGAGCACCTTCTAGTGTCTTATTTCTGCAGAGCACCAACTTGGTGGCCACTACTTATATTGCCACCTAATGTATCTGGAGAGTTTTAAGCTGAGAAAAGCTGCTGCTGTGGAGCAAATCAACTTTGGAAAATATTTTGGAGGAGTACTGTGGTGGCGGAAGGAATAATGGCTCTAGTTTGGACACTTTAAACCTATTTTGCCTTGAAAAATGAGCAGCTATCCAGTTGTTACTGTTATAACTAGTTATTTGCTACACTAGTTCAACTGGCATCACAAGCACTAACAAATCAACTGTTGTGATCAATGCAAGTATTACTTGCTATTTTAAATTTGATCACCATGATCAAGTATGATCACCATGGAATATGATGAAAGCCATTGAATGTTGTCACTATTAATTCGTAAGTAGGTAATATGATGGGTACAAGTAAGATACATTGTTTATTTTGGTCTGTAGGTGGCAGCAACCCCTTCTGTCTAATGACATAAATTGAAAACACCCAGTTAGTTCAGTTCACCTATTTCAGAAAAATTAAACAAGGAATTTTAGCACAGAATTAAAGCCTCTGCTACCTTTAGCATACCTTGACAGATTTTATCTTTGATAGAAATTATCAAATTCACATTCTAAACAAAGTTGATACCAAAAGTGTACTTTGTAACAATTTTAAGGTGTTTCATTATATTGTCATGATTTATGAAAAGCTGCAAACTTTCCAGAGAGCTTTGGTCAATGGGCAGTATCATTGTTTCCCATTATTGTCTATCAGGCTTTCCTACTTTGAAAAAAGGCCCTTACAAGAGGGATGGACAGGGCAGAGTAAACAGGGATAAAGGTGAGTAAACAAAGTTAAATTTGATTCAGTTTGTTAAGGTTTCCATTTTTAAAATTTAATCAGTGTCACTTGAAGCTCTCCAGTTGTTGTCGAGTTACCCTTGGCCCTAAACAGCCAAGTCTTATCCTTCCTCATGTAGGTACCTTTCCTAAGATGCAAATGGGTCAGTGGAGTTTACTGGAGTCAGCCAGGAGAGTAAAAGAGAAAGAGCACATTCCATCAGCAGAAAAAGCCACTGAAAAGAAGGGCAAAAGGAGCACTGGGACACTACTTTGCTGTTTCCCCTTCCACTCATGGACGCCATCTGTGAAGCACTGCTAGGAACACAGACATAGTGGCAGAGCTTCTGTTGCTGGTCAGGGGCAGGGGGACTTCAATCTCCCTCTCCATTTGTGGATGGAGATATCCTATGGCTTCACAGGGACCAAAACTATGCTGGCTGGGCCATATTGGGAGTGGCAGGTCTCTTTTCTGTCTAAACTTGCACAGGATTGATCCTTTAGTTAATCAGTGTAAAATCAGTTGGGCTTGTCAAGTAAGGACAGCAAATCAATGGAACCAGTTACCTATGGAGACAGTGGGCTCCCTACACTAGAGGCATTCAAGGTGCATCTGGATAGTCATCTGAGAGGGATGCTTTACCTTGGAGTCCTGTACTGAGCAGGGGGTTGGACCCAGTGGCCTCACTAGTCCCTTTCAACTCTAGTATCACCGGAGAAAGCAGAAATGGGCACTTACTTGTGAACAAGCGTGTTTTTCAGACCACGGACGAGATGCCGTGCAATTGTTTTGACCCGTGGTGTGAGAATAGCTTGAGACACATGAAAAGTTCCATGTTTTTCTCGCTCCCCAAGTGTGGTCTGTAAGAACTGCAACAGTTTATGCACATTGGTTGTATTTGCCCATGGTGCTGGCATTTTATTCCCGGGCCACAGAAAGGGGTATGCATCACAGAGGGGGTGGTGGTAGAAAATGAGAACCTGAAAAAGTGAAGAAAGCATTAGAAACTATTTTTCCAAACCAATTCTTTTTTCAGTTATGTTTATACTACTCACAATAAACTTGTTTTCCATAAATTGGACAACAAGGATGACCGGAAATCAGGTCAGTTAGTGTCAAATGGTTGGCTGATTGGTTGTTGGTTTGGGAAATTTTGCTTAAGCCATGGGTTGTCCTTACGTGTGATCCCAAAAACTGTAGGCTGTTTCTCCAGAGAACAGAGATTGGTAATTGCCACTGCTCACCCCCAGTCATTTCATATGGCAGTATTACAAGGCTGCAAAGGCATTTGGCATGCAGGGCAAGAGCGAACAAGTGAGGAGGGAAAAATAATCAGGGGGCTGAGACAATAAACCATGGTTTGCTTGGTAGTCTGCCAAACAAACCCACAAACAATTGTGGGTAGGGAAGCAAATCATGTTTTAAATAATCATGGGTTACCTAGCTCTACATGTGAAATGGAATGTACATGAAAAAGTCTAGTTCAAAGGCTACCCAGCATGAGCTGCTGAGTTTTTAGCTCAAATATTATGAAGCTGAGAGTTCTCAGGATGACCTAGAGCAGAAGTGGAAACTACCAGATTGTGCAAAGTACCTATTTTATTTTATTTTTTTTACTAGAACACAGAGATGCAGATGAATGCCAAATGGGTTTCTTTGGGAGGTGGAAGGGGCTACAGACAGATGTAAAGTTGTGACTCGTGAAGCAAAGACCATTATTTGCTGCATGGCTGTTTTCCTCCCAAGGCTTGCTGTAATTCCAGATTGTTTTAATTCCCGGTTTTTTCTTTTAACCAGGACTGAGGCTGTGCACATTGATGTAAGAAAGAAGGAGAAGATCAACTGCAGGATGCAGTTTAGCCATTACTCTTCACTGGATGTGCTTTTGGGATTGCAGCACCATCCAACACATGCCTCCTCAGAAGTAAGTCCTACTGATTTCAGTGAGATCTATTCTCAGATAACTGAGTGCAGGATTGCAGCCTTAGTGATGTGGTCCCCCATTCCTTAACTACTCAAACACTGCCACCAGGGGGAGCTTCATCAGAACATTCTGCTGTCAGCTGCTGCTGAAAGAAAGGAGACAGAAGTACAAAGGGAAAAGAGGAATCCACGTGTTTGATGCTGTTGATGCTCAAGTGGCCATGTGCTTCTGGAAGACAGATGGCAGGTGCAGGTGATCATGTCTCCCCTTCCATGTGGATGCAGGCTGTCCAACAGGAATATTTAAAAAATGGGAGAAATTCAGGAGGACAGCCTTTCCCAGCTGGGGGATCAACACATGTTTTTGATTCCAGCTCCCATAATTCCTGATCATTGGCCAAACTGCCTAGGGCTGATCGAGGATGGGGTTCAAAACATTTGGAAAGCATTTGATTGGGAAAGAGTTGTGTAGTGGCATGCTATTCATGAAAAAGGCAGTGACTGGGAAAAGCAGTCTTTATGAGATACACAGGACTGGAACAGTACAGCCTGGGAGGGAGACATAAGGATGTCTGGACATGCAGGTTACAATGGGAGGAGAGCTAGTGGTGAACTATTCACAAGTGTTTAGTTGGAGTACTGCACCATTCGATATACCATGAAATGCTTGACTTCATACAAGAATCCTAAAAATGTTTTTTAAGGTATGCATGGGAAATCATGCTCAGGATGCCCTGGAACAAAACTAAAAGTTAAATTCAAAAGGGATCCGAACTGTAATGGAAAGATACAGTTACTGTATGCTATGGAATGGAAGCACTAGAAGGTTATTCATTCTGATCCTCAAGACTATTTCCATTTCTTTCCACACATTAACACTCATTTCAGCCCCTCTTTTTACCCCAAATTATGCCCCTAAACACAGCAAGTAAGACAGCACAGTCATCTGCTGAGTCCTAGAAAACAGGCTATACCCTTCCCTCAGCAATCTTTTTGGTCTGCTCATCTTCCCTTGATCAAACTAGTCTCCTTTGCTCCCTTCTCCCTTTGCAGGGTACCAGGTTTCATCTTCTGTTTCTTAAGCAGAGAAAAAGATGGGGCATTATATGGTTGTGGGGAAGGGTTGGCTGTTTTCTAATACTTTATCAATGCAGTCATCTCTGTGTGTGTGTTTACCCCATAAACTTGGATTTAAAGGTAAGGAAGTTTTGGATGCAGAAATCCTGGTCCATTCAATTATAATCTGTGCCATGTACAGATCTTTTGGTTTGGAAATGCATCTGGATATGATGTACATTGAGATGAATGTGAACTCATGAATATATTCATGAATGCTGTGTACACACTTCCACTTGTTATACAGCAGGCATTTGCTAAGGACCAGTTACATACACCTGCCATTCATAATTATTTTGACTTGAGGGTGTGGGAGTGGACAATATCTAACATAAGGAATTGTAGGAGGAAGAAATGTTTCACAAGATTACATTCTACAGACCATGGCAAAGAAATGCTATCCCTTTAAAACAGCAGACATATAGAGGCTATGTATCTGAAACAGAAGTGAAGACTATGGACACTCTGCATTAGCTCATTTATAAACATGAAGACAGTGGATTACTGTGCTAGGTGTGCTACTGATTAGGTGTGCTAGAAAATTTGGTCCCAGATCCAGTAAGATAAAAATGCTTCCTTACCTGCTGCTGTTTTTCCCAGAGGCTTTGCAATGTCACACTTTCTACATGTTCCCTCGCACAGAGTCTTGACCCAAAGACTTCCTGGATCCTGCTAGATAGGTACACATGATGGTTGTTATCCATAGCATAGAAGTGGTTGAAATCTAGGAAGATCACTTCCTTAGGGTGATTTGTTAGAAAGGTGTTTATCTCCATCAGCCCATCTAATACTTTTATTCCAAACAAACCATGTATGAAGTAAATTTCCTGTCCTGCATCTCCTGGCTTGGAAGATACACGGAGGTCAAAGTAGCGGATTCCACCTTCAAGCTGCTCCTTGAATGTTAGGTTTTGTGTCACGGACCATTTCTTCATTAACTTCTTTACCAAAGAAATTTTAGCTAAACGTTTGATGGCTGTGGCTTGATCTGGCCCTACAGGAGATTTTTCATCAACCCAGTAGCTGAAGGAGTCATGTGATCCTGGAAAAAAGAAAGGCAATACTGTTTGATTCTTATAGCTTTGTATTCGTTGAGTGCCTTTCTGGCAGCAGATTCTGGATATCTGGATCCCATTCATAGAATTATAGAATAGTAGAGTTGAAAGGGACCAGAAAGCCATCAGGTCCAACCCCCTGTGGCTGCAAGACACTAAATTACACCATCCCATTTAGATGATTGTCCAAACATTTTTTGAATGTCTCCAGTGAGAGCCCACAACTTCCCCAGGTTCCATATGTTCCATTCTTGTACTGTTTTTATTCAGTCTCTTAGGAATCAAGGTACAAAACCAGGTGAAAAAAGTGTAGTGTGAAAATGGTTCAACCAGCAGCCAGGCTCATTTTTATTTAAAATATTTATACCTAGTCTTTTCATAATAAATTTCCAACCTGGTTAAAACCAAGTGAAAAGCAATAGTAGAGTATAGAAAAGAACAGATAAAATTCAATAAAAATAAATATAAAAAGATACACCAATGTTACAAATAATCTAAAAATAACCCACAATACATTCATTCTTACCTAACTATGTATTCCTAACATGTATTCATAAATATTATCCTAAATAATTCAGCTGATGAATTTTATAGTCTGGATTTTACAACCCTTATTTAACTGTAGCATTTGTTTTTTCCTTACATTTCTGTAACCAAGATTTTTAAAAAATCTGATACTTCAGGACTGAAATGAGACATTTTCCTTGTCCTTTTCTCCATCCCTTCATACTGTTGCCACACTTTTTCCTGAGACATTCAGTACTAAGAAAATTTGCTATATGGGACACCAAAAGAAGTGAGCAACTGACAAGTTTTTGTGAATGTATTGATTGAAAAAAAGATGGATTTATTTACAAAAAGGAAAGAAACTTACATTCTCAATTTGCAGTGAAGGGATTCTTCCTCTCCCCCCGCCCCACCCCACATAACATTCACACAAAATCTTGCAGTTCATATTTCATTTTCAAAGATTCTTTCCCCTAAAAGTAGTCAGCTATATCCAAGTCTGGGAACTTATCTAATAAATTCCTATATGACATTGCTAGAGAATAATAAGCAAGACTTTTTTGCAGACACAACCTGTCATGAAAGCATGGAAAATGAATAGTTTATAATGACCTAGTTTGCATGTGACAATTCCACTGTGGGTTGTCACCATTCTTTGTTTCAGTCTAGTTTGCCATGATGTCCAAACTCAGTACAATAGTTTCCATGTGATTTGTTAATCATGCACAATGGACCCTGCTAACCCATGGCTTGCTTTTTGGGGTGGCTTGTTTTCAGGGGGGCTTGTTCGGTGCAGCATAGGACCACAAGGACGGTGGCCAGATTGCAGGGAAAGCCATACGAGGCAAGACTGAGGGAGCTGGGTCTTCTCACCCTGGAGGAGGCTCCAAGAGGATCTGTTGGTGACACAGAGGTATGTGAGGGGGTGCTACATGGAAGTGGGTAGAGGCCTGTTTTCCCCTGTGGAGGAGGGCAGGATGCATCCCAATGGAGCAAAGCTCAGGGAACCAAGGTTCAATCTGGATGCCAGGAAGTACCTGACAGTTAGGACCCTGAGGGTATGGAACAGGATTCTGCAGGAGGTGGTTGAAGCACCATCGGTGAGGGTGTTCAAGGACAGGCTGGACATGCACATGGTAGGCATGTCATGAGCAGAGCTGGCTGGAAGCAGAGGTCAGACTAGATGGCCCGGAAGATCCCATCTGACTCGTTCTGTTTCTGTGCTTGTTTTCAGGGAGGCTTGTCATGATGCGGAAACCCAGTATAATGGTTTGCACATGATATGTATGAAAGACCGTGTGTAGTGGTTAAGAGTATGGTTCAGGGACTCAGGCAATCTGCATTCTAGTCTCTGCTTGGCTATTGATCCAGCTGGGTGATTTTAGGCCAGTCATAAACTCTCAGCCCAACCTACTCACAGGGTTGTTGTGAGGATAAGATTGCACATAGGCAGACGGGTATTATGTAAGTCACTCTGAATTCTTTGTAAGAAACAAGGGCAGCATATAATTTCACAAATAAATAAATAAAATAAGGGCTACACCATCTCCTGGCAACAGCATCAGAAAGCCATTGTTTGGTCTTTTGCAACTTCTCTAGCTGTGTGTTAGGCTAGGAATGCCTGCATGCCCAGTTCCTCTTCCTGATTATTGCCACTTGCCATTTTATACAAACAAGAGAATTATACAAATTGCACACTTACTATAAAATTAGCAGATATTTCTCCAATTATGCAGAACATTTATTTTAATTTTCTGCCCTAGTGTGTAAAGTTAATCATACAAAAATATGAGGGGCAATCAAGAGATCAAAATCACACAGATCCCCCTACCAGGAAGTTTTTATGTTTATGTGTGAAAATGTGGGTGAGGGGGGAGGATTTACCTTTTTCAATCTTATGTTCAACCTTTTTCTGCCTTTGGTGCGATTTGTGCAGATGTGCTTTAACCAATCCACATGCTTCAGTTCACATCAACCAATTCACATTAGTTAAAGTGGATCTGTGCAAATATCACCCAATTTTTTTTCAAGAGGTATTTTATTTTAATTAAGGAGAGAGTACACATTATTAGACTTCAGTGCTTCCCCGTCTTCTGCCATTTTTATGACAATTTGGAACAATTCTGGACAGTTTGGGTGGGGGAAGGAAAAGAAAGCTGGCTACCTGAGGAAACATATGTGACAGATCTGATAATGTTTTACTCTTTCAAAAAAGTTGGGTCACAAAGGACATTGAGATACATGCAGAGCAGACCAAAGGGGAAACAAACTATAGCAAACCAAAGAGTACTTGATCTATTGGCAGTAGTTTTGATTAGTGATATATTAAACAAGCTACGGTGGTTTGTTTTCAGAGCAGCTTAACATGCTGTGTGAATGCCCAGGCTACAAGCCTAGGGATTGGATAGGATGGCCTCTAGGGTGCCTTCCAACTCTGCAGTTCTCAATCATACAAGGCTTGGGTTGGCCAAGAGTCTGCAAAAGTGATCAAACCTGCTTGACAGAAAAATGCCTGAACAGCCCTGGCCAGGCTAGTGATTATCTCCTAATTGTTAGGTATATTTGAAGTGATATATTGTCATATGATGCAAGTAATTGACTGATTTCTCACAATAACCAGCAAATACCAGAAGGAAAATGCTTGTCTTTTTCTCCTCCCAGATAAGGAATGCTGTAATCTCTTGTCTTTGAAAAGAGCTGTGAGCTGTTTGGGTGCAAAAATAGAGGATAATTTAGTGCAGTGTTCCCAGCACTTTTTTTCAACTAGGAAGTAAGTTCCTTTGGGTTTCTCTGAAGGCTGAGAATACAAAGGTGATCTCTTTACTGTTGCTTAATAGAGTCTTGTTAAGGAGGTATTACATACTAACTACTAGAGAACAGCTGCTAGCATAAGGATATTCCTACTCTAACCTTAAACAGGTTTTCAGCATCCAGTTCCACCACCACCGTGTACCACCATTCAAAAAATGAATAAATAAACGTACAGTGGTACCTTGGCTCATGAACTTAATCCATTCCAGGACTCTGGTCATGAGCCAAATTGGTCATGAGCCAAGTTAAATTTCCCCATAAGGTTCAATGTAAATAAGTTAATCTGTTCTGTAACCATTTTGTTTTAATCAGAAAAATGTGAAGCAAAGAGACAAAGAACAACAAAGATCTCAGCCATCTCTCTGTGCTCCCCAGCACGACCGAGATTGCACCTGTCATCCCTGCATGCGCCCGTCATCCCAGCGTGCTGGGGGGGAGGGGCGCAATCGTGGGTGCACTTAGGGAGAGAGAGACAGGCACGAATGGGGTGTGCTGGGGGAGGGAGAGACGGGTGTGATCTCGGCCATCTTCCTACCCCCAGCATGATCATGGCCATCTCCCCACTTGGGGTGGGGGGGGGAGATGCCTGTGATCATGCTGGTTGGAGGGGGGGGAGATGGCCGAGATTGCGCCCATCTTTATGTGGGAGTGCGCCCATGATCACACATGTCTTCCCTGCATGAACGCAACTGCAATTGTGGCCATCTCCCCACTCAGTGGGGTGGGGAGATGGCTGCAATCTTGGTCGCCACCCAATGCAGAGTTTGCGACCCAAGTCAAAATTTTCATGAACTTTTTGTTCACGACCCAATTTGGTTGTGAACTAAGGCATTCGTGATCCAAGGTACCACTGTATTTAGAAAGCCTTCAGAGAGTTATCTGACACATGGCTCTTGCTCATTTGGTATCCATCTCACCTGTGCTCACATGCATGCTTTTAAAAAGAAAACACGTTTCATGCCATGCATCATTTGAAATGAGATTAAGATCTTAAATGGATTATTTTGTAGGGGTATTGAATCCACCTGGATTCCCATACTCTATGAATCAAATAGCAATTGACCACATGTTGAGAATGCCAACACTGATTAGCATCATGATGGATTATGCTTTACTAACTTCTTTGTTCTGTGCATTTTTTGAACTTTATGAATGTGTGAAAATGAGCTCTTCAGGTTTACACATGGAATTAGCCCATTGCAAGGTGTTCACATGTTTTGAATCTGTTCAAGGTATTTTGAATCTCAAAAACAGACGGACAAAACTTAAGAAAAGTACAGATTGTGGAAGTAAAAGCTTGTTTAGTCAGAAACAATAAATGAAGAGCGTGATCTACAAAACTGAATGTACATGACAAGTCAGCTGGCATAATGTGATGGAAGAAGGAAAAACCCAAATAATTGTCATTTCTCATCCTTTGATCCTCCAGGGAAATTGAACCAGTGGTGGCTGACAAATGAAGCTCCAACACAGTTCAAGAAAGAGTACAGAAGTCTATGAATCCATCTCATAATGTACATGTGCACTCAAAATGCAGCATACCAGATTGTCCAGTACCGATGGCCACAACCATTTGTACCTATCAACTATGTAAGTGCTGTATCTCTTCCCATATCACAGGATTAGACTCAACTGGACTAGTGCATATCTTGCCCACAACAGAATTAAA